CTACTAACCTATCTCGCCTATTTCTTATAGACTTCCATAGAGTCCTCTGTTCTCCTATTCTTTCTAATACCTCTTCATTTCTAACCTTCTCTATCCACGGTATCCTCACCATTCGCCTGTAACACCACATTTCGAACGCTTCCAACCTTTCCTTTTTCGCAACGACCACCGTCCATGTTTAGCACTCGTACAGCTTTGCGCTCCAAACATACACGTTTAACAATCTTACAGTGATGCTTATCGAAAAATTAACAAACGCGAAGTATCTTGTACTCATGAATGGGTGTCCTATATAGCTCTTTACATATAATATCAGATAAAAGGGCGCTTACAGAAGGAAAATACAAATTATACTAACATATCAGTAAATTCAAAGTAGGTAAATTAGAAACATATATTCATTAGTATCACTTTCTTAAATAGAGATATCACTTTGCATTTGAAAAGTCTGGGGGTCGTTCACCATCCGCAATTCCCCATTTAATGTGTTCTACAGCCTGGTTAGTATGTTAGAGAGGTAATTAAAACCGAAGTTTTATGTCACATTATCTTCAAGGAACTGTCTAAGTCTAGGTGGTCATAAATAGTATTGCACTACTCATGTGGTAAATATTCATTTCAACTCTGGACAGTGAACCAAAGTGTGTTAAAAGTTAAAATAATGTCATTAAAAATATGAATACATTGGAGGGAGAGGACATGCAATGCTAAGGGAGTCATAATTATAATTCTAAAAAAGACCCCCCAAGTCCCTGATCTCGGACAATCATTTCAAATCGGTGATATTTATGCGATACTGGGAAAGTATTCTTTACGTTTTCTGAAGAATTACGTAGACTTACAGTTAAGTTAAGTTCATTTTCATTAGACCAATTGAAGATGTTAGACAGGCTGCTCTGCAATTTGAGTACACCCTCTACCGAGAAAAATAAAGATACATTTTTCAGTCATCTGCCTAAAAGGATTTTTTGCGTGTTTGACTTAATGGAGATGATCAATAAAAATGTTGAAGAGAATCGGACCACAGCGTGAGCCCTGTGGAACCCCGGAGATGATGGTCTATTTTGTTTTTGCGAGAAAAACTCATCAGTTTTACTATAGGTACATATCTACACATTTAATTTCTTATTTATGTATATGTATTCTTGCTATACTTCAATTTTGAGTATATTACATCTCATAATAATTCAAGGACATAATACGAAAGGTATCAGTATAGTTCTGCTCTCCGTATGCCATCAAGTAAAACTAAATTATCCCGTAGGTATACTATATTTTGTAAACAATTTAACTTTAAATTATCATAACATTCCAACTATGCACCTATTTGCTAACAACCACCCACAGTTTTCTCCTAAAGTCCATTAAGTTAATTTGGGCATTTCAGAAATAAAATTGAATTAAGCTGAAACATCCCTTAATAATACCTTGACATAGCTCGCTTGAGTCTGTAGGTGTTTTAAAGGTCATTTAAGTGGTTCGGACTGTCAATAAAGGTGCATTTTGGAGTGATTTTTTCAGGTAGAGAATCCACCTGTGTGAATGTTGTTTTGAAAGACACCTGTGCTGTATACTAACCACAGGATATCGGCGCCACCACCCTCGGCGTTCCACAATACATGTCTCGGCTGTTGTGAACTTCATGCACCGAGATACCTTTATGGTGGACCATCCAACAATAAAGCCATTAGCAACAGGTACCTGCACTAAATCGAACTAAGTCGATAAGAAAAATATCACTGTCGAAAGATTTTCAAATATGTTGTATGCATTACATTTTTTTGTATCTACATAATAAAACTGGCCCCCCAAGAACTAGATAAAAGCATCGGATATAATGTATTACGTATAATAGTAGCATGGTCCATTTTCCCGACTGTTTCATTTTCCATTTTGTATGAAAGTTTGTTTTTTCTTTATGTATTAAGAAGCAAGTCAAATAATGATTACATTGGAATTCTTAATTCTAAATACAAAAAGCTCTGAATTTGTCTAACCTTAAATTAGCGAAATTCTAAACTGCTTTTATTTTTATTTGTTGCATAATTTGACAGTTCATAAACAATTTCTTTAATACAGACAGTATTGCTAAAATATACGTATTGTAGCTACTAGGTACATTGTAAAGAAACGCAAATAAGTTTTATGACATCTCTCCTACAATATTTTACCTTTATTATCATTATTAACTTTCAAAAATGTCGTATATATAAAGTAAATTTATTGTTTTTGACTTTCGTGACTGTCAACTATGCAGAAAGTGGTGAAAAAGGTGCGGTTTCTTTAAGAAGTACCTAGGTACTAAGGTGATCTTTTATTATACATATACATATACGCGAAGCATATCCAATACACATATTTAGTGAAATAGTAACTAACGATAAGTGTATGTTTTAGAATTTTGCGATTTATTATCATTATTATAACTAGTTCTTCCCCCTGCCCCCGGCCATTTTTATTGCTCCGTTATGACGTAGTGTCGGCCATCATTCTTTTCTAATTGTTGCAGTTGTCGGCCATCATTCTTTTTTAATTGTTGCAGTTGTCGGCCATCATTCTTTTCTAATTGTTGCAGTTGTCGGCCATCATTCTTTTTCAATTGTTGTCGCATTGTCACTGATGTCGGCCATTATGAGTTTTTAATATGCAACACATCGTACACGTCAGCATAAGAAATTACCGATACTAACTTTCATTTACGTAATACTACTTTGCCCTGTGCTGACAGCACTCATAATTTTTTTTATATATAATATTAAAGGAAAACATGTTTGATAGTATAGTTATTACCATATATACCAGGGATCACTTAACCTTAATTAGAAAGTGTTGATGGCATTTAGGGAAGAAGGTAGTTGTAAAATACAATAAATCCTAATTCGTATACCTGATTTCTGAATACTTTCTCCTAGGAGTATTCTATTGCTGAGTTTATGGTAGCATTAAAATGGTCTGTATATGTATCTAATGGAATTAATTCCTGGTAAAATCTCAGGTACCTACTTCTACTACCAAAAGTATGTGTACAATAAAACATTACCTTACTACCTAGGTAGATCTTAAAGGAACCGCGCCTTTTTTAAACTTCCCTCTGCATAGTTACACTGACGACTGAAGAATGTCTAAAGCAATAAATTACTTTATTATATACGACATTTTTGAAAGTTAATAATGATAATAAAGGTAAAATATTGTAGGAGAGATGTTGTAAAATTGATTTGCATTTCTCTAAGATATAGTACCTACAATACGTATCTATATTTTAATGATTACCGCCAATATTAAAAAAATTGTCCCATTTATGCAACAAAAAAGAATTTTAGAATTTCGCCACATTGTGGCTCGCGAACAAATCACAAATGGCCCGCGTAAACCAGTCTCAAAATTTTCTCCAATTTGAAAGGAAAACTTAATATTGCCTCCATAAGCTGTAAAGTAATTGTGAAACTAAAATTCAAACTCAATGAACTCCAAAATCAAAAAAACCTTTTCTACAGAAAAAATATATTCAAAGTCATAAATTTCTTCAGAAGAATTTGGACATGATTTCCGGAAATTGTTGCAAAAGAAACACTCCTGCAAAAGTTGACCTAGCCTTTCAAATTTTGTGAAAAAGTTTTCAATCTTAATTTTATGAATAATAAATACCGCGCATGTCTGAATAATAAAATATATGACCTAACACCCAGCATAAGAAAATTATTAAGACCAAAATAATGGCAGTAGATATTATTTATTTTACGACAATTAAATTTGCACAAAACAAGGTTTTAAAAATAGGAACCGTCGATGTCTCGTCAATACAATCGTCAGTTAAAAAGGTTGAACAGTAGGCGTGGGATAAAAGGTTAATAAATAATAACTTTACGGTTTTTATTATTGGAACTACTGAAATAAAAATTATGGAAAGGGTAGTGTTTCTGAGCTGTGGTAGTGCTATGACGTGGTAAATTGCACAATAAGTTAAAGATAGAGTTTTTCTTCATCACTTCAGATGAATTGAGCAAACCAATTATTAGATAGAGAGTCAAAATCCGCTTACGAAATCATCAGTGGCGTCAGCCTATGCAAGAAATTCACATCCAACTGATACAATGGAATCAATTAACTTTTTGTGTCCTGTATCAAGGATACACGTATTATATCAGCATGCACGATCGACAATAAATCGTTTACAATGCTGTTTAGTCATTGGCTTTGCCATCTACCAGTCGTGACCGACCAAAAAATGTGTTTACTATGAAATTTGAATCGCAAGGACCGATCGTGGTGGCCTGGAGCCTGGAACTAATCTTTATTGAGCGCTCGAAATAAAGAAAAAACTGAAGCAAGTTACAAATGAATATGGGAAAACAATTATTAAAGTGATGTGAAATAAGTTTCGGTACAGAAGTTTTTTGTAGAACAATTAGCTTAACTTCCCATGCGTCATAAATATTAACCAGTATTGTACAGGGGAGGATGCAAAAAAGGGCGGAAGAACTATTAGGGGAAGATCAATTTGGGTTTAGAAGAAATAGAGAAACGCGGGAGGCCATTCTGGCTTTACGAGTAACAATAGAGAAAACGATAGAAAAAGGAAAGAGTGCGTACATAGGATTTGTAGATTTAGAGAAAGCTTTTGACAATGTTAAATGGGACAAGATGTTAAATATACATACTTAAAAATGTAGGGATGAGTTACAGAGATAGAAGAGTGATACTTAATTTGTATAAAGAGTGATAGGTAGTTATAAAGCTGGAGCTGCAACGTAGAAAAGTAAATATTAGGAAGGGAGTCAGACAGGAATTCACACTGTCACCGGTACTTTGCAATCTATACATCGAAGACGCGATCAATATAATTAGACAGTATAACTGTAGGGATAGATATACAGGGGCAAAGGATAAATATGCTTAGATTTGCAAATGATAGAGGTAGACCTAGATTAGATTATTGTTCGCAAATAGTTAAGGGTGTGGATTGCTCTAGTTTTGGGGAAATGCGAAGATTAGCTCCGGATATGAAAGAGTGAAGGTGCGTGTCCAACCAGTCTTGGGACTGACGACCTTATGATGATGATGAGAGATGTTTTTAATTCGTTTCAAACCTTCGACACACGTTAATCAAACTTTCTCAAATGATCCAAATAGTGTGATCAATTACTGTACATTTCTACTTCAAACATGATTCAAGTAAATCATAAATCAACATGAAAAAGTGGAAAATCATAACTAATAGCTTAGTTGTATTGATTTTATTGTAGAGGATCTGATATCTGATAATTATTAAAGAGCGAAAGCTTCAGTACATTGGGCAGGCAATGACAGGAGAGCGTTAGGGAAAAAGGAAAAAGACAAAAGATCTGTGGGAATACGGCCGAAATAGTGGCTTAAAGATCTGGAATCCAGGTAACGCTTCGATTGGACGAGTTACCGAGTTACCATGGTATCAATTCTTTATCTGACTGAAATTTTATATTAACCAAAAAACAGTTACGTAATTTACTTTCTTCATATAAAAGCCTATTCTTTAATTCGATATACTATATTTGAAACGCTGTTTTTACAAAAATCCTTATTTATATTACTAAACCATTTTTCAAGTAGTAGTTTGTTGAAATACCTACTTCAGTTTAAGAAATAAATAAATATAAATAATAACATTTGAAGTGTACTTCTTACTAGTAATGTTAACATGCAGAAGGATTCTAATTTATAGCCACTGAGATTACTAATTAATTGGGTAAATTAAATAATTAATCAGGTTTCACAGTGTAAGACCCAACACTCTATGAAGTGTTAGTCTTTAATCATGTATTTATTGCGTGAAGGAGATATGCACGTACCTATAGCTCAGCATTTAAAATCATAAAATGTTTCTTAACACACGTAACATTTGATGGCTATGATCAATGAGAGTTAAGGTCGGTCAGATCAAAATTAAGTGAAAGTCCGCGACCTGACTAAGCTAAATAAGCGTAATAATTTGTCAAGATTACTATTACTTTTTGCGATTATCCGGCAGCTGCGTGGTTTCAACTGTAGAAGGCGGATTTGCTAATTAGTGTTAAGTCTTGAGAAACCCAGTCAGCCGCTCACCAGATCTCGCAGGTGTTCGCTCAATCGTTGTTTCTTCACTGCCTACGTTTATTATAGGTTCGTTCGACTTTGGTACCGTTCTATGCCGTTTTTTACACTCTTTTTTGCTGTACGTTGTACTTAACATCAAGAGAACGAAACTGTAGCCAAATACACTGATACGATCAACGAAAAATACCGGACAAATGTGGGCTCGATTTTCGCGCCGAGGATCCGTCGTTATACATAAATTAAAGCCGATTTTCAGGTACCAGATCCTTTTCGTAGAGCATATACGTACACGTGGAGTACTAATGCATCTTTAATTAGTACACGTCTGATTCGATAGGTAGCGCTAGTCAGTCTTAGTACGTCTTATTGCTGTCCGACAGTATCAATTTCAGTGAACGGATACATCGAATCTTAAATATAAAATAAATAATAATTATTTAAGGTCCTTTTTGAACGGTAAACATATAAGCTGTAGCAGACTAATTATGAAATGTATTCTGACTTCTATTTTGAGATTGCCTGAGAGTTTGGTAAAGGTTTGGGTAGGTTTGGTTGGAGTGTTATATTGAAAGCAATCACCACAGTGCGTTTTCACTAATTATTTGTATTCTGTGCAGACTTCTAGAAAAAAGTAAACTATTAGACTGGTAAACATGAGAAACGGTTTTCTCCAACAGGAATATGTTTCAGCATGCTTAAATATTAAGAAAATTAATCACGAAACAGACAGTTTGGATTATTATAATATATTTGATTTTCCAAAAATGAGCAGATAGTGTACAGTCATGACGATCTCGTCGAATTTCTGGCGAATTGAAATTGATATCGAAGCTTTTAATTATTCAAACTGTTCACCTTGTGATTTACATGATCCCTGTGGTGAATGTAGTCTGCCTTTACTATCGGCAGAAGGTATAGAAATATGTTTTGATCGATTTGATTTAAAATTCATTTTTTTTACTTTCGCTCTATGAAAATGGCAGATGGTATAAAGTTAGCGAAACATCAACATCACTTATTCTAAAGCGATTTCAAACCTCTACAGAGAGCTACGTTTCACATAAAACTCTTAGTTATTCAGGATCTATAACGATAAGACTATACAGGAATATTAGAGGAATATAGGTATTGTCCATGTAATATCTCTGAGTATTGTACATCTACAGTTTATAGAAAAGTATTTTTGGGTCCCTAATTGCCAGATAGTTCAAACAATGACAAGGGATGAAAATGACAAGGAAATGTTATAGCAATTGAAAAATGAAAATTTAACAAATGCTTATCTTTTATAATTTAACACAATTGCCATTATTCACCCACTGTTTTATATTGTCATTTTGTATTACTGATCGTTGTTGCCAATTCTACATAACATTAAAAGATTACAGAAAATAGTAATTATTATATTATGTTCTGAACAAATACCATCCTTATATTGATTATACGATATTTGCCAGATTATTTATTCCATAATGGATGGACAATTCCTGACACTTAGAAAAACCTTTTACTTTAGTTTAGTTTAGAATCTGCAAATAGTGTCTCTTAATTTACAATTAAATACATTTTGTTTATAAAAGTTTATAATGTTGTGACAACCATGCTCAGAATACAATAGGTTCAGAATGCCATGGTCGTTATGGTACTTATCAATTCACGCATTTGCGATCCGTGCCGCGCGTCGAACGCGAACTAGTTTTGTCAGTTAGTAGCTTTTACAAAGAAAAAAAAAAGAAGGAACGAGGCTTATCAATATTCATTAATGATGTTTCGCTATCGTATGCATTTGGATCAGCAACTCATTAACGAAATCGAGAACAGACCGATATTGTGGGACAGGACGTTATTTGATTACAGACGAACATCTTTGCGTGATTTGGCTTGGAAGGAGGTCTCCCGTGTCTTACAGATAAGCAGTGAGTACCTTTATTATGTCTACTTACCTGCCCACACACTCGCGCAAATGGTTATTTTATAGTGCTGCACGGTTTACTTATCATATTTATTATAACAATGGTATATATGCATTACAGGAGCGTCATATACCAAGCAACTTTTAATAATAATAATGCGAATGTGAATGCAACATGTGAAAATTTCCACTTATTTCTTGGTTGGTGCAACATGTAACATTTTGTAATATTCAAGAAATAAAACCATCTTGCGTTTTAATGTTTCAATTTATTTTAAAACACTATTTTCAAATTGGTAAGATGAATTTACCTGGGATGACATTGAAACGGGAATTACAACAGTCCAATAAATACTCATAATTTCCCTTTCAATGACATCCCAGGTAAATTTATCTGCCTATTTGAATAAATGTTTCTCTCGCATATAGATTTAGTGGCCAAGTACTCTTGAAGAAGGTCTAAAAAGCCGAGACAATTTGTAGAGTAAAACTCTAAATAAATTTAAGCATTAAAAAGCAAGCTATTTCTTTAATAAGTTAAAATTTGCCAAAATCCTCTCGATTCATATGATTTAATGCTTATCCGAGTTGTTGGTGTTCGGAATGCTTTTAATTATTTATTATTTTAAAGAAATGGGGAATGTTCGTACGAAATATGTATGACACTGATAAAAAGTTATCTAATGAAATTTCATAATATTGAGAAGTGATATATAAATTTAGAAAAAGTTGTTGTATTGTAAAAAAACCTAAAAAAAGTATATAAAAATCATTTTAAAATTTCCATATAGATAAGGTTATGCAATTTGGTGAGATAAACAATTCGTTAATTAAAAGTACTTGAGACAATGTTTTTTTGTTGACGTTGGCAGTGATTACAAAGTCTAATTAATTTAATGCAGGTAATATTGCAAGTCATACCATACTCGATCTGTTGTATTATTTTATTTACCGATTTGTACTGGTCATAAACTGAGTTTATTTAACATAAAAGTTAGCACTGAATGTGTATATTTGTGTATGTAAGTGTATACAAATAATAAAGATGTAAAGTTCGTTTTTGAAAATATCGAAAACGTCAATAAAGTGCCTATGGGTTATATGGTATTTTGTTGTGGTGTGGTGGCCACAGGTGTGCGTGTCTAATGGTGAATGAGTCGTAAATAATAACCATGACCATAAAATTCTTGGTCTATTTACTACATCACTACTTATTTAAAAACCGCTTATCGGGGCATATTTATTGTTTCGCAAATGGACGCAGCAATAATAATATATTTAGTCATTTACTTTATTTTATCTGCAGGTTCAGAGTGTAAACGCAGATGGAGAACGTTGCGAGATTCGTTCGTTAAATATCATAGATCCAGACACAATGAAGGAAGAGGAAGTGATCCAAGCAGGAAGAGGATGTGGATATTTTATGATATCATGTCATTTTTAATTCCGCACATCGATTCGAGAGAGTAGGTTTTCTGATTAACTATTATCTAATAAAATAATTCGAAGTGTATTCTGTCGAAACTGACAGACGCGGATCGCGATTTCGATCTTTTTGGATCTCATCAGCGCGTTGCAGGCAGCTCCGATAGAACACAGACCAACTTTTACCTGCTGTCTCAACAGTGTGTTTTAGAAAATACTACAAATGGTGCAGTAAACGCCATATGTAACACGATGCTACATTTTAGGATTACGTATGCTCGAACAAGGTCCACTAGTGTGGATATCTACTTGCTGAAAACGAATCCCGGTGTAACCAACCTCAACGTGATAGGCACGTTAGCTTAATCGAATAAAATAATTCGAAATGGTCTGTATTCTGTCGAAACTGCCAGACGCGGATCGCGATTTCGATCTTTTTGGATCTCATCAGCGCGTCGCAGGCAGCTCCGACACAACACAGACCAACTTTTACCTGCTGTCTTAACAGTGCGTTTTAGAAAATACTACAAATGGCGCATTAGACGCAAACGAGGTTGGTTACGCCGGGATTCGTTTTCAGCAAGTAGATATCCACACAAGTGGACCTTGTTGGAGCATACGTAATCCTAAAATGTAGCATCGTGCTACAGATGGCGTTTACTGCACCATTTGTAGTATTTTCTAAAACTATTATCTAATTAATTAAAAAGTTACTGACTGCAATCAAACAGAAAAATTGAGAAGTACCAAAAGTATTTGGGTAGGTACCTAGCAGTAGCTATGCACCACCATGCTTAATGGTCCTCATTCTAGAGGGTTTTCCATTAAATACCACCCTCACCAAATCCCGTTGAAGAAGTCGTTTAAACACAACTAACGAAATTTTAATTTTTAGTTAACGGATTTTTAACGAGAGGGTTGAGTTGCAGCCGTTGAAACGAGCCTATAATGTTCATAAACTCTAAAAGTCTACAATGGAATACGAACTTTTACTTCTTTAAAATTTTAGAAAGAAATTTCTTGTATTGTATTTGGTCCAGTTCTCATTTAAAGTGTCTTACGGTATTACATTTTGTTCTATAGATCTAGTGCAATAGACCACCAAGAGAATGCTGACGATACAGATTTTGAAACCTCAACGGGATACAGAGATGCAAAAACTGAATCTTTATTAGAAAGAAACTTTGAATCGGCCGAATCTTCCAGTAATCGCTTCGATGTGGATGATTATTCTACAGATGGATACGGTACTAATGAATCTTATTCACCAAAAGAGAACATCTCTAAATATCTAGACGCGGAAGAACAATTTCTAATAAGTTATGCACCAGTATTGAAACGCCTGTCTCCTCAAAAGAACGCTCAAGCGAGATTGAAGATACAGCAAATCCTTTACGAAATTGAATTTGAAGAAGATCTATGAACTGAACAAAAGGATCGTCTACTACTTCATTTTGTGCTAATACAATTGTGAAATTTCATTTAAAAATGCAATATAACATTTTACCTAACAATAAAAGAGAAATCTTCATTTGATACATTTCCTTTAGCTTTGTTATATACAAAAATCCTTAATAAAAATCAAAAGTATTCAGTTAATTTGCAAATATTCTGAGCGATTCAATTTGTTTTTCATCTTTGAAGAAATGTGAGCTTCGCATACGACATATTTGTAGAGTGTTTTATACTTTTTTGAAAATAATTTATTGGAGTGCATATACCTATGTTTTATTTGTTGAAAGTATATGGTGGTATAGCATATCATAGTCTGTTGTCGCTTTAAAAACATTTAAAAATTTCCCCTTAATACAAGAATCAAAATTTGATCATTATATCAATCACAAGTTCGGAAAGCAATTTCTAATTAAGATTAACATTTATTATTAAAGACATACTGCTTAGGTGTTTCCAGAGTATGGAACCTGAACCCCTAACCTACGAGTTTGCTCCGTGATCAAGTCTTATTGATTTCAATTTCGGTATAAGAATAAAGACAATTTTTAACATTCCACCAAGTGGCATGGCCTAGAGGTTTAGTGCATTGCTTAGCATTCGGGAGGACGCCGGTTCGATTCCGGGTCCGTCTGCCTTGCTCCAAGTTTTTCTGTGGTTTCCTTGGATCACTTAGTCAAATGCTGGGGTTGTAATATTGCATAGATAATCTGTCTTCATTTCGTTCCTCTTGTCTCTCTTACCCGAACCACCACCTACCCATTCCAAACGTTGTATCTAGAGACAGTTCAGAATGTCATGAACCTTTAGTTTGGGTTATGCAGTGACAAAATTCCTGTTGTTCTTCGTTTTTTACCTCTTAAAAACATTGGTCATCACTGGTTACAGCTTATTTGGAGCTCCATTTCTGGTTATATACTTGCGTCTGCCTCACGAGCATGCGAAGTTTCATGAGATTGTGAACTACCTCTATTACAGATACAGAAGCTAAGTGTGCATGTAAAAATGCAGTCGCCACATTGTGTATAATAATGAGTATGATGTTATTTCCACAGTTATTGCGTGCGTGTTTTTGCGATAATTGGATTATAATTAAACGTTGTGTTATGCAGAACTAAAATTTGTTTTAATGTTTATAAATAGTTTACAAGGCCGTTTTACTGACACGGGCATGTAGGTAAACTGCTCCATAAATTAACTCCATACGTGGAAATTTTCAAAATATATCACATGTGCTGTTGTTTCAATGAATTAATTGGCTCACACACATTTGTGTGAAAAGCGTCGACGTTAAATGCAGGAGAAACAGAGAAAGTCGTAACGCATGTTGAATATTTTACACGCAACAGTGAATTTGAGCGTCTGATGTAAGGGTTGAAATTATAACACAAGATCGATAGTCATAATTAAATGTTATCATTTAGATACAAATGATCTATTGATTGTTGATCGATGTACTGAAACCGGCAAATTAAATGTATCGAAAGATGGTAATTCTAATTAATCCCCTAATACTAATACTGACGATTAGAAAAACTGCAAAAAGATTTCTACAGCATACAGTTCCCTTTTGAATACTCAGTAGTTGTAAAATGAAATCAGTTCAAGGAAAAGATCGCACTATGAGAGCTTTGTTATTATATATTTTTGTTAAATGGTATAGTACTCCTAGACAAAAATTTTCAGTCTCTCAAAGTCTTTCAGCGTCTCTCACAGTCTCTCAGTTATTGCCTAGGTGTTTTTATGGATCTCTCACAGTATCTGTATGAGAGACTCGAACGATAAAATTGTTAACTCAGAGATTCGAGTCTCTCACAGAGAGACTGAATGAATAAAGCTGAAAAATTGAAAGACTCGAGTCTCTCGTAGAAAGACTGGGATCTCTGAAATATGTTGAACTTTTAACCATGTCTATCGAGACACCACTTATTGAGAGATACAAGTTTCTCGTTCAGATATTCGAGTCTCTCGTTCAGAGATTCAAGTCTCCCGTTCAGAGACTGGATGCGAAAAGATCTCTCTATGAGCGACTCGAGTCTCTCGTTCAGAGATTCGAGTCTCTCGTTCAGAGACTGGATACGAAATGAGGATCTCTCTATGAGCGACTCGAGTCTCTCGTTCAGAGACGCTAAACAGTTTTTTTGACAGTCTCTCAGTCTCTCGACAGTCTCTCTCAGCGACACCAGAGAGACTCGATGAGAAACGGAGACTCGAGTCTCGCTTTCAGAGACTCCGAGAGACTGAACATTTTTATCACGGGACATAAGGATCATATTCAATCTCCAAAGAAAGTTCCCTATGGAATCTGCAAGGGTATTAGTGTAGATTTAGGTATCTTCAAGACAACATTAGTAGACCTTCTTGAGGATTATCCATAAAATACGTCAATCAGAATTTCACCTTTTGAAACCGTCTCTTCCCCTTCGTCACACTGAGTCACACATTCAGCGATCTCCCACCAAATATTACGTCACAAAAGCGTCTACACCTTCCCTATGAACGATTTTGTGTAAAATTTTAAGAACTGCAAGGTGAAGAACGTCACACTTCCTTAGACCCTCCTCCTTGTCATATATTATCGCGTTAGTCAATACCAATTCCTCTCCCTTATTTACGAATGTATTTTATATACGATTCCTTGGAAGATTCATCGAATTCTCTCAAGTTTTATATCAAATCATTACAATTTTAATTTATCTATCATGTTTTAAATCCATTCGTTATAAAACAAGCTCTAAGTATACTAATACTAATTTGCTCTACATATAGCTTCAATTCGCCTTGATCAGTAAACGTACCACCCCTGTATGCTACGTACTATTTCCCGTCCTTGCACATGCCGATGCGTATCCTACAATAATTTCTTGCTGATCGACATTAAAATTGAATTAGCATTTAAATTAACATTATGCAATAAATTTAACACCTGTTGTGTTTATGCATGAAACAGATTTTCTTTAATTGCTAATTAAAACGAACTCATTCCAAACCAAAATAATTCATAGTCTATTTTGCAACATTATCATTTTTTTTCGTTTTTGTTTTTAAAAGGAATGTAATGTTTATTATACATTTTGAAAATATTAAAGTGCAGAAAAAGAACAAAATACTACTTTTCAAAAAACCGAACACGTACTGAAGTAGGGGAGTGGGGAATGTGATCCTCTCGACCTTTCGAAGAGTCTTTGCCAGCATTTTCGTTTTAGGAGCTGGTTTATTCGGGAAATTCGACTTACTGTAGCTAGTAAATATTTATTGCAAATGACTATAAAAAGGTTGGTAGGACACACAGACATGAACAGTTGGTTGGAGGAATTTTAAAACTAACATCAGGTGGCAGAAGAAAACCTAGATTACATTACTTACTGCTCCCAAACAGTAAGAATGTAGGTTGTTCTAGTCTTCGCGAAATGCTTAGATTTTCTCATGATAGAAGGCGCTACTGCCAAATAATATATATTTGTAACAGTGGAATTATTGAATGACCGAAATCATTCAGCAAATGTAACTGACAATGACTTTTCCACGGAACTGTCTTTTTATTTAGTCCGTCTCATATGTCTCTCATCCCAAGCACCAACCACATAGGATTGTTAGGTAATCCATCTGACGATGAAAAGGTTCTTGTTATCGACTAACCCTTTATTAGCTATACGAATAAATAATCTTATGTTTTATTATCAGAAGCAGCTAATATAATATGAAGATTGGAAAAACTTTGGCGGTTGTTGTAGAACAAACAGAACAGCTCAAAACCCCAACGCCAAAACACGACACTGTAGTTGTCGCCAAAACACGACACTGTAGTTGTCGGACAACTACAGTGTCGTGTTTTGGCGTTGGGGTTTTGAGCTATTCTGTTTGTTCTATAAGCTAATATAAAACAAGCGATAGCTATAGTAAATATCTTTTGTACGTCTCCAAATTATTACAATAATGTAACAACATAGAATTGTTAGATCAATATATCTTTTGTGATGTGTGAAATACACTGCATACCTACAACATATGTACCAATAAACATACGCAATAGGTGTTAGGTACTTGCTTTTAGTAAGTAACGTCGTCGTTACTCAAAACCTAAACAGAAATAGAAAAAGTTGCAAGGTAACCTGGCAGGCAATTAATTTTTTAGTGTTTGCACGTGGTAACCAATTTTCGAACCGAGTGACGTTACAGAGAGCGTGTCCTTCAAGACCATTTACATACTTACGTAAGTGGAACTTTTAAGTAGTTTAATGCGCGAGCACTGAACACTTTTATAACTAGAATGTTGTAACTTTCTTATTGTTGTTATCAGGTCGGCAGTAAAACTAAGGAAACGTTGTAAAATATGCGTAAACAAGAACCCCACATATGCATATATACACTCATGTAAAAGTAGTTAAAACATTTACTCACACGAAATGAGTACTTTTCATTGGAATAGAAATAAATACATTTTTTAAATTTTATGATCATAATAATGACATTTCAGATAGATTTACACATATATGTACTAAAGGCGCGTTGATAACGAAATATAGGGATGTTCTGTTAAAAGTTATCGTGTTGCATGAGACTCGTGTTAACCGACAGGTTTTTCCCAGAGGTTTAGATCATTGCTAAGCACTGGGGAGTACCCCGTTCTAGTCCGGGTTCGTCTGCTTTGGTCGAAGTTTTCCTGTGGTTTGCTGGATCAGTCAGGCAAATGTTGGGCAGTGATATTCCACAAATAATCTTTCACTTTCTTCATTTCGTCCATCTAGTCTTCCTCACCCCAACAATTCCCACGATTACTAGCAGGAGGCTAAAGAAGAGCTTTCGCACTACCCTCTGACGTAGCTCGGAGGGACTGCCCAGCCACTAGTATTGTTTTCGTTTTTGAAAGTTAGTGTATTACACACCAAGGGAAGAAAATACGGTATTCTCGGGAGGGGCGCCATACTTTCTTCAGGACGATACGATTTATTACTATACCTACCCCTGCGCTGAAGGTACTGTTTTTCTGATTTCAGAGATAAGAGCGCAACAATATCTCCTCGGTTAGAAACCGCATTTACTTATTAGGAAACGATTTTCCACGTGGAAATCTGAAAA